GTAAATGTTTAAAAATATATATAATATGAGTAAATAATTGTGTGTATTTTGAATACAAATAATAGTGTTTTGTGTGAAGCGATTGAATGCAAAAATAATGAATAATTTTTAGCGTTAGACACAGAACTACCATGGTAGTTTTTGACTATATTACAGATGGTTAATATACATAGTTTAAAACACAAATGTGCTTTAATCTCAGATATGTCTCATTTCTAATCTTCAAACTTTTAAACATAACTTTAAATACAAGTATTTTATCGTTCAATGTTATATTAAACATTACTTTTATATCATTTATTTCTAGACATTTTTAGAAATAAATATATTAATAGATCAATAGATTTCTATTTCCGTTTTATAGTTTAGTCTTATATTGAAAGACAAACACATGTTTTGATTGAGTATTGATTTAATTGTTGTATTAATTGTTTGTTTCAATCATTTTTATGTGTATTTATTTTGTTTGTCATATTCTCATAATACGATTATCAAATAACATAAAAGCAATTATCGATAATATTATTCATAATAAATAATTACAATAATATTGTTTATTATTGATTATTTGTATAAATACAACTTATTTTCTTTAAATATTTGAGTTTTCAATAAATTATTAGTTTAGAAATATTGAATGTATTTTTGCATCCTTAATTTTGCTTTCCCCATTATTTTTACCCCTTTGCCTAACGCTAATAATTTTCAATTAATCAAACAATTGATTGCAATTCATGTAAAATCAGTGATAAAATGTTAAACAATTGTCATATTATTACTAAATATGAAGGTTATTTACAATATGTTTTGTATAAATATCAATACATAGTAATCCAAACAATTTATTAACTAATACATTATTAGTAATAACCAAAGATAATAGATTTATGGAAATCCATGTTTTTTGTATGCATTCAGATTACATGGAAATTGAAAGATCTCCACCTATCGTGAAATAAGGGGTGTCTTGATAACACATTTATGTTTCATATTTTTCCATATTCTACCTCAAACTCCTTATCTCCATAAATATGTCCATAAATTGCATATTTCGGCTAAAATACCCAAAAATAGCATAAAATCGCGTAAATTTATAAAGATTTAAATATAATTCTATATAAAAATAACAATTTAATGAATTTTTAGATTGTGAATAATGTTTAGAAAGTTATGCAAATATGCATATTGTAAAAACACTGAATGCCAAAAATATTTTTCAGCAAAAATAATTATATTTTACGTAATATGAAGGAATATGACCAAAAAACCATTTAAAACATAGAATGTTACTTCTTTTAACTCAATTCTTGCGATAATTTGGTATTTTAAAACTTTTTGTTTAATTAAATCGAGTTTGAATGTCTATATTTTGGCATTTTTATGTCCATAACTCCATCCATATTTTTCAAAAATAAGTCCATATATAAATCGACTTTGGTAATAACAACTTAAATATAATTATTTTCATAGTTATTAAATTGTTTAATAAACTAATTTTATTTTAAACTTTAAATGGTTGATTACTAGTATTATATAATTATGATATATTATTATAAATATCATAACAAAAAAGAATAGTAGGAATTAATAAAAAAAATTATATTGTAAAAGCAATATATTTAAAAACATTTTTATAATTAAAACATTTTGCATAAAACAGTAATTATTTTTCAAAAATAATTTCAAAATCAATAGTCTTTAAAATCAATGCCATGCCATCGGGGTGGGGTTGCAAACTATCGGGATCATTATATCGGTCCACTAGTTTTATCGGGTGGTCGTTTGTATATTGTAAAATGTTTACCATGATTAAAAATAAACTATTTATAGCCATTAATTCTCCGATACACGTACGTCTACCGGCACCAAACGGTATATGTGCTGATGTGCCAATAGAATTGAAATTACCCTGCTTATCAAGAAAACGTTCAGGTTTAAATTGGTCAGCGTTTAAAAAAAGTGCATCATTTGTTGATATATGCCACGAATGTTGGATCAGTATTGTCTGACCGGGAACTGGGTATTTGCCGCCTAAGCAATAAAAATATCAATTGAATTTCTATTAATTAAACATGGTTTTAAAATAAAATATAACCTAATATGGTATCTGATAAAGTCATATGCGGTGCTCCAATTGGTGCTGCGGTTCTAAGACGAATGGTCTCGTATATGAATGCCATAACATTATGCAAATGGTGTTTATCGGTCACAATCGGTGCCCTATCGCCCAGTCTATCGTTTACTTCATTTCGCATGATTTGCTGCCAATCGCTATAATATACCATAAATAGTACATTCCATACGAGAGTTGAATACGTGGTTTCCATTCCCGCTATTATAAAAAATATCATTTAAATAATAACTTATTATTATTATTATTAATTAAGTATTGATAATAACATTTAGTGAACCTTTTTATAAGAAACCTTAATTAATACCATATAAATTTTTTATATAGATTAAACCAGTAAATGGCATCTTACAAAAAAAGCTTTCAAAAAAAGTTTTAAACTAGACATTATTTTTGCTGTATTTTCTAACATTAATCACAAATGCCATTACATTTANGCTGTATTTTCTAACATTAATCACAAATGCCATTACATTTATTTACAAAACATTACCAATAATTCAAACCACCACTCTCTTTATTTGATAACAATATATTTGAATGCCTTATGATAACAATAAACATATTATAAAGTATGTTGCCATTTAATGCGGGCAAATGCATAGATATGCACGCATTGACAGACTATGGATTAAACTATATGATAATAATAATTAATTGCAATGTAGTAACTCAATCAATACCTAAATACATGTCCATAACTACTGCGGCAATGTTATTATCGTTGAAACATTCAAAACCAGGCTTTCCCTCCGCCTCTGTCCGGCGTTTAGCGTCAATAAACTGACCGCAAAAGTCTCGGCCATTACTCTCGTCGTAATTATTATCGCGTAATTTTAATTCATTTATTATGTATTTAAAACATTTGTTATATGTTTTTTGTAATGTTTGCAAAGGATTGGCCATAAAATATCGCACAATGGGTATAAACTCGTATATGCCGTACAAATTGTTCATTTCGTGTCCTAAGCAATGGCTTGGAGATTGAAAATTTGTGTACATTATCTGGTCTAACCTAGATCATTAGACGCAAATTAATTGTTACAAAAAATGCATTTTACATTTGATAAAATTTACTTATGGTTAAAAATAAAGATACTAAATATAGTCATAAGAATTTCGTGACAATAGGACTGCGGTTTAAACGGCCGATCGATTCCCTCTTTGGTCAACATTTGTGCAAAGATTTCATTAACAGTTTTGTTTAACAAATCTGAGAAATCCTTTGATTTTGTATATTTTCTATTAAATAAATTCAATTTATTAAATTAAATAAGTAACTAAAATTTTTTAACACAATGAGAGAATAATGTAAAATAAATCTAATACCGAATAGTAGACATGGACATTTTTCTCAGCGGAACCGCACTTTCTAAGTGACTATTGAATGCCACATCTCTATGATTGTCATCGTTGAAAATTGATCCTAACAACAATTTAACGCACTATAAAATTGTGTTATAATACTACATAGTTTCTAAAAATTAAGTTTTTTTTTATATCTAACATCAACCACAGAACTAACACTAATCATTAATACCGGTATAAAGCAATTGATTGAAAGGGACCCGCAAAAAGCGTAACATACAATAGGGGTGGGAGGGGTAGTGAAACTATAGCGTGGGATAAAATTGAAGAGGGAACAGATTTTGTGAACTGGGCTGATCGCTAATTAATCTATAAATTATTAATATAAATATTATTATAAATATATGAATAGACTACAATAAAATTTAATTGGTAATTAAATAGTTTAATTATGATTAATCAATGTAATTATTTATTTACAAATACTCAATAATTTGTCTTTAATTTTGTGGACTTTCTATCAATTTAGCTTGTGGGTAAATACTTTTGATTTACTTCCATAGGATCTATTGATAAAACACCTTTGACACTCAGTGAATATGTATATAAATTCTAGTTAAAATGTAAAATTATATCTTGATTTATAATACCTTACAGCAAAACCATTATTTATAAATTATAATGTAAGTTTTAAAATCATATAATATATTATTTACAATATATTGTATGAAATGAAATAATTATTATAATATTACCAAGCAATATTTGAAATTTGCCCGAGCATTCTGGTCTTTTAAAAGCTTGTTTAACAATATCCGGATCACCGATAAGTACTATAGGTATGGGACCGACCCATACGGTCACCACCGGTCCATACAGTCTGTATAGTTTTGACAGTTCTTGGTTTATGTGTTGTTTTTTATTTCTAAATACTATTTAAATACAAATTAATTAAGTATTAATTAAATTTTTCTTCATATGTGATAATTTATTTTTATAAATTGCATTAATATAAATATTAGTAATTAGCTAACAAATAAAGATAATTAAATTATATGCATACATAGTAAGTTACCAATTACAGGCAATGGAATTGGACCAGGTGGATAGTTAGATAATTTTGAATAAAATCCTACCAGGTAAAATGCAATCAGTCCAAATATAAATGTGCCACAAATGTCCAACCACGTTATACTATTAACATTAAAATTTATTTTATTTAATCTTTATAAGTATGTTAATTAGATATAGCAATACTCACATAAACATGGTCCGTTGTAAACTTGTAAATATTACTGTTAATAATTATAAAATCTAATTAAATGCTATTTTTAAATGAATATTAATAAAAGTAAATAATTTAAACGTGTATAACAGATGGTTATAAATTATACTGCATATATTAAAATAAAATTTACTAATTTTAAACATCATTAAATGGTAGCAAAATAATAGCAACATATTGTAAAGAAAGAATATACTGTGTATCAAAGGTAATTGTTTTTTTGTGGTAAAATGGCAACTAATGTAAACCTGGGTATAAGATGAACCCGGTAATAAGAGAATAATATTAAATGCACCAATCAATTGGCTTATAACCGGGATAGACTGTATTAACTAATATCGCTTAAAGCGGATGTTATTAATATAATTAGAAATATACATATTAAGGACAGGATTCTGTAAATTATTCAATTCAATAGATAATTAAATGGTAAATATTTATCTAAAATAAATCATAATTAAGTTACATTTAAAATTGATTTTAATAAAATTATTTTATTTTATGTATTATTAATCATAATTGCCATAAAATAGAGAAAAAGAAATTTTATTGTGACGAGGTTATTGAATCACCAAGTCAAATTATCAACTATTATTCAAAATAATCGTTACTTATTATAAAGCATAATTTTCCCTTTTATAAACAATATAAGCATTATTAATAAATAAAATTAGTAATATGTTTAAACCCCACTTTTATATTAGTGTATATTATATATATGAGTAGCACTTGAATAGAGTATAAATTACACAGCAATTGTTTTATACAATAGGCCGATTCGGCCTATTTATGGCATCGATGTGTATTATAAATATGATACAAAAACAGAATGGTATTAATTAATAAAACAAGGTTCACACGCGATGCTATGCGTTAACCACAATTCGGGTAATGCTAAGTCTATGGCAATGCTAATTCTATGGGTAATGCTAAGTCTATGACATAGGAATAACATGGGTAATGATAAGTCTATGGGTAATGCTAAGTCTATG